AAAGCGGCCAAAACTGTTTTCGTACAGTGAACTCAACCGCAACCTTGCCATGATCAATGACATGCAGAGACTTAATCGATTCGGTATGCTTTCGTTAGCCAGAATTTCTCTCGCGAGAATCCATCGATCTTCGCGGATTTAAATCGTGTACGCGATCGATGATGATCGCATAGCCGATTAGATAAATGACAATAATTCGAGAAAGTCTCCATTAATATCATCGCATTGATATTATTGCTATTGTTGTTTGCCAGTTTGAAATCCAATTGCATCACAATGTCGAAATCATTCTACGTTATATAGATTGCTGATTGCAACCTATATAAACGCGTACAGTTTTTTAATAATAAGCTCAGAGATAAAGATTAAAAATATTATGCATTTTATATCAATACTTGCACATGTAATATATATCATAGTTTTATATACATCATACTAAATTATTAGATGTCGAATGATCAGATATCAGACTTTTAAAATGTGTATATTACATGGTATAAAAATCAGATTTCTTCTTCAAGAGTATTGAAAATTAATATGATTAATAATTGGGAAAAAGTGATATAAAATGTTATTCAAAAAATATTTCGTGATCTCGAATGATTCGTTTGATTGAATCACCGATTGGCCGATATTTGCGTTGGGATTCTTCCTCTGGAACCGAATTAATCGGTTTAAATTGAACCAATTTCTGCCAATTACGTTCTAGTTTCCAGATAGCGCATGCTTACGGTAAAACGATCGTTCGTCTACCCGCAGGGGTCCATCTGCGTTTCGCCGTGTGAAAGCGCGATCATGCCCACATACGTGTTCGCGCACACGCGCGATGATTATACGTTCTCTCCCCCCTTCTCATCTTCCCTCTTCTCTCTTTTTACGAGATACATGTATATTTTATATACACGTATCGTTCTCGTGGCGATAACCATCACCCACATATCCCCAATTGGTAAAGACAATCGCTAATATGTTTCTCTCCTTGATTGAGAGTGAGTCATGTCTCGCGTCCGCTCCAACAAGAGAACGAGAGGGAGAGGCAGAAGATGACGGAGACACCCGCGGTCTCTTCTTTCGCATTTACCACCGGCGAAACAATTGTTCGACGGGACAATCAAGTACTAAATTCGTGGCGCCAGCCGGCCGCCCGCTGTATATCCGGCGTTGTTGAACTAGTTTGTCAAGGTGATGCTAGCTACACATGTGGTCATTCATTGCGATAATATTCGTATTGACGTTCAATTAATGGATCAATGATGTCATATCTCGCGTTTCTATCAGAATATTGGTAATTTCTCATATACTGTAAACGGGTCAAACATAATTAATCAAATAAACAAGGAATTTTATTGCTTATCTCTTATTGGACATAAAATCGTCTGACACGGAGCAGAGAAGTTTGTATAATATAATTTTATATATATTTAAATTCTAATAATACATTATAAACTTTTTACGTTTAATATTTGTTACAACGCTGAAAATGTTCACTTGTGTGCTGACGGATGCAGTTATCTTTTGTAAATCACGTTCGGTACATATTTGTGTAAAGACACTGGGATACGATAGTAAAACTGTTAGCTAAGAAAAAAACCTAAATTTGATAAAATTCCTTTTTTCTAAAAATATTGCACAAAAATCAATAGGAAAAATCAATAAAACTTGATTTATAATCACACCTTTATCATTATCAGACACTTTTTGATTTCTATTTTAATATTACATTACAATTTAAATATTACATAATATTTTCATCTTCCTCAGCAGAATATCACTATTAAAGATCAGATCTATATATATGTTTAGAAAATATTTAAATTCTTTAAATATCACAATTATCTAATAAAAAAATCTCATTGACAAATAATTATATTTAATGAAAAATACGTATATATATAATAAAACTAAAAATAATCACTTATTTCTTATGCGATAAAGTTTGCATTTGTCCCGCTTACACATAAAAAGATTCTTGCGCAATCGATTTCATCGTCATGACCTCGTAATTTCGCCGTTCATGCTCTTATTCTCTTCCCACTGCCTTCGACCGTTTTTTTTTCTCTATTCCTTTTTTTTGGCAGGCCAACGTCGAGGGTGCCGCACGGCTTTTCGCACGCTTGCGTCTCTGCCTGGAACGTTCCCGTATTTGCAGTATGAGAGTAAGCAATTTTCTCTCCCGAGATAGAGCGGCCCTGGGACGTTGTCGGTGCTCCAGGGAGAGCGTACGACGATGCGAGCGAGCGAGTGAGTGAGTATGATTGATGCGGTTTGTCGGTCTCGCCTGACATCCAACATCTCGTCTCACGTCACGCTCGCGGATACTTACGCCCCCGACGACGACGACGACGACGACGATGACACTCTCGGTATCACACGCGGCTACATCTCGCGTATTCGACCGCATGACTGAACTACGGTACAACCACTGCGCCTCGATTTTCCAGCGTACGCGTGAAGAATGAACTACTAAGGCATGCAAAGTATCATTTTTTCGGGATAAATTTAGTTGAGTCTTTTTTCAGTTGTATTATCATCTAGATGTATTATCATCTAGAATCCTCTCCTCTCGAATTTCCTACACTTATTATAAAAAGAAAAAGTAACTTATATAAATAATTACGTAATTTATTACCACAGTCGTGAAGATCAGCTAGTGCCGAGATAATTCGTAGATAAAATTATAGATAAAATTAAAGATACATTGCATTATCTATATCTATTTATTTTAAACAAAATATATCACGAATGATGCAGTCGAAATTATGCGTCATTTTCGCATCAATTCAAATTTTGTGATGAAATTGAAATGCGACGAAGACAGACCATCGTAATCTACTTCATGCAATCTAAATATTACGGATTAAGCGAATTATGTATTGTTAGCTTCTTTATTGGTCATTATATTTTCATTGAATTGATTATAAAAGATATCTGCGAGACGTAGGTATTATGCTACCATGAGTAATTTTTAAAATACTTTGCAAGTATTTCTTGTTATTGTGAAACGAATATGTGACATTCTGTATTACGAAATACGGCTTTAACAAGCTGATGTTTGAATTCTGTTATGTCTGGCTTTCGCATCCGATTCGTTTCATTGCAATGTCGCGTTAAAGCAAACAAGCATGTAGCACGATAATTAAATTGTGTCCATGAATCATATTAATTTATGGATACAAGAGTTGGGATATTATATCGTAACTATGCTACGGCTCCTCGGGGAATATGTCTATGAACAATTATTTTAACTCTATAATTGGTTCTAAAACTCTAATATCAAAACTGCGTAGTTTTAAGATTTAGACTTAAAATTATATTACTAAAATAATAAATAATATAAAACCACATAGATTTAATATTTTAAAATAAAATATACACCAAAATCCCGCTTGATAATTTTGCAATCATTATCATGATAGATAAGCGTACAAAAAATGAAAACACATAATCTTGTCTCTTATCAAGTGGAAAGATCGTAAGTAGAAGAAACAAAATAAATTAATCGATATGATTAATGAATTCAAAGAGTTTTGATTCGTTTTACGCATTTTATATGTTCAATATTAAATGTACAAAAAAGGTGATGGGTGCAATAACACGACGAATATTTCTGACAATAAAAAGTTAAGCCTATTGCACACAGTACCTTATCGAGATATCCGAAAGTATCGTTGCACCAAAAATTCTGGATTATCAGACGGAAGTCATGTCAGTTCGCTGTTTCGGCAAGCGATTAAAAGTTAAAGCTGTTTGATGCTTGATAAATTTTATTGCCGCCCGATATCGTGTCGGATTTATTCCTTCAGAGAGTGTCGTAAAAGATTTTCAACGCTCCTATCGAGCACATACGCTTATTTTTCTGAAAATTAAGATAATATTAAATTCATATCTATAACAGAGAATAAAAAAATTTGTTATAAGAAATTTTCGTCAAAATCTAACATTTCTTGAATATTTCTAAACTTATAATCTACATCCAATGTTACAAGTCGCTTAATAAGGTGAGAAACTATCTGAAATATGTTTTTCCTTCTCTCTACATAAATTAATTATTTCCGCTTTACATGTATTAGATTCTATAAACTTCACGTACAATTAATTCTCCGAAGTTCATTTATCGCCCCCTTCTCAAACTCTTCGCTTCCTCAAACCAATATCGTCTAAGAACACAATTCTCTGAAAGAGCGATAGACGTGATGTAGAAACTCCTCAACCAAGCACGAAGATTTCATCTCCTTTGAAATCTCATCTCCCAGGAAATATCGAAGATCACCCTTGCGGCCATAAAAGCGCAACCTCCCTCGCCTGCCGTTGCCTAAATTTTCCAAGTTCGCTCTTTGCATCCAGCATCTATCTTTACGATGGATGTTGAAGGACGAGCGCCGTACGTGCACGTGTGCGAGGGCAGCCGGCAAATATCAATCAGTGGAGTCAAGAGTGGAATCAGGGTGGCCGAGTGGTTCCACATAATGCTGCAACCGGAGGTGAGAGAACGTAGCGTGCAACGTGTATCTCTCGTGTTCGGTGGCCGTGCAATTCGGGTGCAACACGCGCGCGAATCCAGTAGCGCACCTAACCAGAGACACACGCATACACACGAGCGTGAAGAACCCCATCAGCAACCCCTCGCGCGGTATCGGAGCAGCGACTCCCGGTAGCGCGTTCGGAAGCGTCGCTACCCCACTCGTTTTCATGGATCGACCATTTCCAGCGTGTTGGTTTGTGCGTACACCACCACGAGTACACGGAAACCATCCGGTATGTGTGTTTGTGTGTGGATGAGGGAGGAACTGAGAGGGCGTGCCCAGGGGCGGAGTCCGGGACCAAAATCTTGATGTGCATCGAACATTTGTGTGGGTGTTCTCCCTCTCCATATGAACGCCGACGATGTGTGCGCTGTCCGTGTAAGCCTCTCCGTCTCTCTCCATCTTTATATTCGCCGCTCTCGCGGCCGTCATCGCATGGGAGTCTCTCCACTATCAGACCCGTTAACAACAGTCGGCGTTGAGGCACCCGCTCTAACGGCTAACGTCTCTCACATCCCCGGGCTTCAGCCGGTGCTCCGCCGTTCTCGACCTGTCCTATCCGGCCGATGGACTGCACGGAAATCAGTGTCGCTGACAACCGGAAGCTGCATCTCCTGTGCTACACGTATTTATTGTCGCGGAGCCGGTAGGAGCTGTCCTACAAGGACCTGTCTAGGTGTTGATGAATCGCGGACAGTTTCGAGTGTCCTGACTGTGTCTGCGAAAGTCGTAGAGAAAAAAACTCTTAGTGCTTGTGCTGCATATCCTAAGATTGACGTTGATAATCCTTGCAAGAATGAAATCCGCGAACAGATAGTTCTGAGGAAAAATTTTGCTGAACGTATTTAATTGCGCGTATTGTTGATTGAAAAGAGAGTCTTCTTTTCTAAAAAGATACCAAAGAAACGATTTCGGCGACAATTATCATCCCTGAAAACTCATTATTCTCCTGGAGAACTCTTAAAAACAGATCTGCCGACAACCTTAAAAGGACTCTGATTAGTTTCGTTGAAAAGATTAAACAATATTGTGTATGTTTGTTTATTGCTCCGATAACGTATCAGAATCATTAGCGTGGTGAAAGAGAATGCGAATGTCGTGTACAGTGACGCGAAAGTTATAAGAGAGTGAACGGACTCGAGGTCCAGGATGATGGAAGTGCAGCAGCAACACTCGCCTGTCGGGGTGGGTCCGCTAGACTTTTCGAGACGGGGGGTTGCCGAAGCATCAGCTTTTCGAGTTGTCAAGCCCAAGCAACCGGCTTCGTCACTCGTGCATCAGCAACCGCTGCCGCCGGAAACTAACAACAACGAGAATCTTCAGGAAAATCCGCAAATTCCAATCGACAGCGAAGGTAAGGTTTTTCGAATAATTAATCGAGAGTTTAAAATATTAATTGCAATGGTATATTATTTTCTACACAATTTTAAGCCTATAATTCAAATAATTTTGTCGTAATAATGATTCACTCTTAATGTTACAATTAAAAGATAAGTCAAATTTTTTTTTTCTTTAATAATATTGATCTTATCATAGTAAAGATAGTATAATGTAATAAAAGATGTGAGATACTCTTTTCCTTCTAATGCATTGTATAAAAATAATTTTAAGTTAAACAAAATATTGGAAAGAAAATTTCTGACGTCTATTTTTACACAAATTTTTGTAGGAAAAATAAAAAAAGAATCGATTTTTAAAATTAATTATCTATCATTCGCGTTCAGTTATATTCGCGTGGTACTTATGGATAGCGCACTATGGCAATTGAAAAGCCAGTGCCATCAATTATTCTAATCGGACACCCCTGCAAGCCAATCAAGCTCGGAAACGCGATATATACTGACAACATTCCCTAGAGGATGGAGGAGGAAACCTATATTCAAAATAATCAGTCAAAATACATATCGAATTAAAGCCTTTGACGTTTTTAACCGTCTCATTGATATCCTGGACATTTACCCTCTCTCATGCCTATCATTCGTCTGTCATCATCCTATCCATCTGCCTATTACCCCCGCAACGTGACGTTTAGCGGTAGCTCGCGTCGACATCTGAGTTTGTGAGCCACACGCGTGTGAATCGCGCGCGGTTTCGGAGCGAGTGGCGCACGCACAAACACACGCGCGTGCAGGTGCGTACGTAGGGGCGGTCGTTGTGCACAACGTCTGTTCAACAGGTGAGAGGGGATGGCTGGCATTAGACGGCTGCCTATACCCTAATATCCCGCTACTAATCGCGGTAACAAGGCTAAACGCAATAATATTGAACTACAGGCGTCGAGCTAAGCGGTTTAAGCGATAATTGCCAGGTGATAGGCAGCTCGTCGAGAGGGTTGTACTGCTCTTCTTCCGACGCACTTAACATATCCTTTTACTATGAAACTTAGGAGAATGCTAGCATATATATATATATATATATATATATATATATATTTGTTTGAAAATTATTGCTAATTTTTTTCCCTTGATTGCGCAAAAATTTGTATTTATATCTCTTATTTATATTTCTTATGATATCTTTAACAAAGAGAGAGAGAGAGAGAGAGAGAGAGAGAGAGAGCAATATTAGTAAATTTAAATTTATTATATCTGAAAGTAAAGACAAATTTCTATTTATGAAAAATCTCTATTTATGAAAAATTTCTATTTATGAAAAATGAATATATTCTTTTTATATATTGATTTTCACAATTATCAAAATTCAATTCTGTAATATATATTTATTTTCAATATATATGTATATATATATATATATATATATATATATATATACATATATCCTTTTTTTGTAATTATACGTAAAAATTTTTCAGCGGAAATAATTTTTAGTTGAAGACGATTTTCTTGATTCTAAAAGATCCTCTGGATTTTTTAAATCTGTCAGTCGACCTAAGTTGTTTCGTTGGTGATTTCTACGGCAAAGAATCATTGGTTTTATAAATTTATGACGGGCGATATCACGCGAAACAGGCTACGCAGGATAAACGTCGCACGAGCAAACGGTCCGATATCGTCGATACTCTGGCTGACAAACACGCGTTACCTGCATTGTGTATACAACGTGTATGTTATTACACTCGTCCATCTTATCTCAAGCGTCCGTATATAGGAAAATATGATTTATTTCTGATAATCCTGCGAGAATGAAATAGCCTTTGCGGCATGGAGCATCTAATCTTTTCACGCTATCTCAGATTATCCCAGTCGGTCGTATATTGCCTGGATTACGGATTTCTGTCGTTTCTTTTTTTTTTGTCAATACTTGGTATAACTGGTATAACCGTCATCGATCTTTCCGATCATCAAGTGTTATTTAACAAAAGATTATTTTGCAAATATTTATTATAACTAAACATAAAAATACATATTTTTATTATATGTGTATGTATGTGATCTCAATTTTTAAAATATGCCTTTCTATCTTTGTATAATTAAGTTTATTTTATTTTTATTCCATTATTTGATATAGACTGTGTGTGCGTTATCAATTATAAATATATTTTATAGTTTTAAAATGTATAAAGTTTCTTTCTTATATTTTAATTTAGATACTTGAAATTGATATATAATCGAAATATAAACTCTTTTATTCATCCAAATAAACATTTCTTGCATATATTGTTTTATATTAATATAATTTTAATTAATATAATTTTTATTACTGATAAAAAATTTTATTTTATATTTGGATTAATACATTTTTTATATATATTCTATAATGAAAAAAAATAATTAAATATTAAATGACACATAAGATATTGATATGAAAAAAAGATAGATCTGATTTAGTGCGATTGGACGATTAGATAGGTTCTCGATTACACTCATCATAAAGCTCGGATTTAATATTTTATCATGCTATGTAAAAATATGAATTATAGCATGATTATTTGTCGTTTGAATTATAACTTTCCTCGATTATCATGATTAATCCCCTATTGCTATGGTTGTATGTATACAGATTTCTTTGTTCTTATGCTGATGTAACATCAAAAATAATATTTAATCTCTCTTCAAATTATTGAACAATAAAATAAATAATCATCTATTTTTTTATCTAATACAGAGAAGGCTACATAGAAATTATAAACTAGATGTAATACATTAAAAAATTATATAATTATTAATTTATCGACTTATTAATTGATTTTACCAGTTACAATCAATGTACATTCAATTGGTTAGTTGTCAATTATCCATGAAAATATTGCTCTCTCTATAAGTGAATTAGATTTATTATGAATCTTGTAATGAGGCAATATAATTGTGTCAATATTAATTAGATATACCGCATAACTCTTTGCATTCCGTGTCACAAGCAAAGGACGAGGATTTAGCTTGTTTGATTAATCATCAGGATGGCGAATTGGCGTGAAGTTAGAACTTTGATGCTCCACTAGAACGATCAAAGAAACCAGCCAGGATGAATGGCGAACGTTCAGAGATAGGAATGCAGGTTTCGGGGAGAAAGAGAGCGAGTAATGGCCGGGGCAAGGTTGATAAATAGAGGAGGGTTTCTCCTCCTTTCTAATAAAGACGCTCTTGTCGAGGGGTTGATCTTTCCTACGAGCTAGGAATACTAAATTTGTCAAGACTTGAGACGTCGCTGCAGCGTGGTGGTTGGCAAAGTAACGATGCATAAACGATCGAGAAAAATACGCGATCGTTGTGTTTGAATCACCATTTTCTTATATCGGGGATTTCGCGTATCATTGTCCTTCTGAAAGATATCTAACTATAATAAATCTAGACGTACTATTCAATAATACTTATGTAACATTTAAAAATTTTGTATCTTACAAGAAAAAACGAGAATTTATTCATTTCATTGTTGAAGTACATCTAATAGAAATTTTTAATTTTACTTTCTGTTATTAATAAATTTATAAAATAAAAATCAATATTTTAATGTAACGAAAGAATATCATCATATATTTAATTAATTTTTTAAATTTAATTGTTTCTTTATTGTAATTGTTTTAATAATCGTATGGCATTATTTCTTTCAGGAGGATGCAATGTTCGTTTAATGTTCCCTAGACTGTGGGCACCTTTCGGAAATGCTACGGAGATTACGAACCTACCACCTTTACCAAAAAGTCATTCAGGTATGTGTATCTTATAATAAGCTAATAATTTACTGCCTCGACGAATCTGTATATTAAATCGAATATATATTGCCTATAAATTTAATGGAGATTGAAATTTAAAAAAATAACAATTATCGATATTATGGAGAGAGTTATTATATGATATATTATGATATATTATGATAGATATATTATATATTAATCGTAAAATTAATCGTAACATTAATTTATAAAAATATATTTAAATTATAAAGCAGTGTCTATAATTATACGCAATTAAATCCTTTGTTCGCCTCTTGCATATTTAAAGATATGCAAAAGTTATGAAAAAATGATGTAAATCCTAAAGAAATATTTTTTCTAAACTCTTTTATAAAAAATATGATACATATGTATCTATATTATATATATATTATTTATATGTTAAAAGTAGGTTTAAAAAAAAATTATATTTTAACTTAATATTTTTTACATACATTCTGTTTAATAATGATATAAAAGAAATTATTGCAAATATATCATATAATTATAGTTTTGTCAATAACAATTAAATGAATTTAATAAATTTCAAACTACTTACCCCATAATTGCTCCACCGGATGTCTTCCCGGATCTTCTTCTTGTCTATCTTTCGATGTTTTATTGCATTCACATGACACTCACTTGTATAGACGTTGTTAATTACAACTGCACAGGCACTAATTCACGAAATATATAAATGATCGTTCGGCATTTTGTATAACGTTAATCGCACACGTATTTTTTATTTTACGATTTGGAGAAACGTGAAAGCAATTACGAGTTTCTCAGTACTCGAAAATTGTGTGAATAAATTTGTACCGTTAAAATATTTTATATATATATCAATATCTATAAAAATACATTATTTAAACATATCCATTGCTTTGTCAACTACTTTTGGCGATTAAAGTTTACTCTACTAAATCATATATTATATAATATGTTTTTAATAGAAGCGTTATTCGTTAACTGTAATAGAAAAATCATAAAGAATGATCCAATTCGATATCTCTTAATGTTAATTGCGTTTAAGAAAATAATACGACGACACATAGAACTGTTGCCCGCTCGCTCGAGTATCACGACACGAATGACACATATGTAAATAATAGAGCGTTGTACGTTATACGTACCCCTCCCTTCCAAAATAAAACAAAAACCGAACACACATACACACACAGTTATTGCTATAAAATATTTAACATACGTATAATAAAAATCTATGCAAAATATATATATTCTATTTCTTTAAATTTCATATTAATTACTAATTATTAATAAACGACGTATATATTATAGTTTGGGTCATTATTTTAATTACTTAGAATCCTGCGATTCATGAATTAATATGCGTTTTTATGATTCGAGAGAGAATGTAAAAATAAATTATATCTTAATTACATTTAAATAGATGAAAATTTAAGGAATAGAATATAGAAGTAGAATATTATAAAATATATAAATTTTTTATTTTGTGCTTTATTAAATATTTTGTGATAACAAATTAATTGTTATTTGATTCGGTCTTTGTTTTTTGCTTCATTATTGTTAACATTTGCTTATCTTATTATTAATTGATGAGATTTGAGGAAAAAATAGCACGATGCAGACTGATTATACAAGATAAATTACTAAATAATTATTCTGATAATTTTATTTTTACTACAAGACAATAACATTTATGATATTAGTAATATATGTATATATATATAAATGCAAAATATATAAGAACAATAATCTTCCAGTATTAAAGTTAAAGCTAATTATATTTAAGTGTAGATATGTCTAAATTGTTATTATTAAAAAATGCCTTTTTTATTTGACAATATGAAACAAAGTAAAACATAAAATTGTGTTTATGTCGTATTTAGTCTGCTGTCAGTTGAAGTCTACCCATCGCATTTTCTTTCTCCTTTTTTGTGTTCATTCCGTTCTCATTACATTCACATAATACTCACGAAAACATGGTTAATTATGATCGTGCGCTCACTATTAAGCGGAATACAGCGACCGCATGATGCTCTTGACATTGATCATATACGACGCAAATTATATATTACGATATAAATGCACGAATTAAAATTATATAAAATTTCGCAGAATAACAATATCCGAACATATATGAATATTTTTCTAACATACGATACCTACATGTCAATCTAAAAAAATCACATAAAATAATCACATATAAATATCAGAATATCAAAAAGCGAAATAAATTTACTATTATTTAATATTATTAAACATTCGATATATTACATTTTCTATTACTTATATTATTGGATTCGATAATGATTTATGTATTATTTTATGTCCTTAATCTAGATAATTTTAATAAAGATAAAGAATATATTACACTTGAATAGAAAAATGTGAAAAGTTTAAAATAATGCTAAACATATTCTAATTAAAAATTTGATATATATTAAAGAGTTAAAGCATTAAAGCATTAAAGAATTAATCGATTATTATAACTTACATTTATTATTTCTGCATTAAAATTTATTATTTAATGATTACTATTCATTACTTTATCGCGATAGGATGACATTATGGATTCTTTGTAGTACCGTTATAAATGTTTTGAGAAATCATACTTATCGCACTTCAGAATTACAATTATTTCAATACATTTTTCGTTCATCGTTGCTCATTAAATCTTTTTTCTAAAAGGTGAAGACGCGCGGGTGTAGCGCCGACCTTTCGCCCCGATGGCTTCCTCCTCAGCCCGGATGACGGCGAGTTTTTATTTGCCGATCATTAAGAATGACCGGTCGTTGTCGACACGATTGGGATAAATGGTAGCACGCGTCATACCGCGAACGGACATGGGCCTTTCTGACTCGTACCGGCCCAATTGGAGCGGATTAGAAGCGCGGGGTGCACAGGGATTCGGGCCGTCGGCCCCTTTGTGCTCGTACCTACCCTGAATTAGTAACGTCTTGTCATGTTAAACGCCCGTGCATACTCTCTTCCTACTCCTTCTACGCTCGCGCACGCGTGCACGTGGCCATTCATTTGCCTCGTTCATTCTCGAACACGATAAGATCGGTCGCGATACTTTTATCGTAGCATTTCCACTGCCATTGCTTCGCCAAAGATTTGCGTCGCGCAAACATGATGCTCGTTGAGCAATATTGCATTATTATTTACATCGATTATCACTGCTATCTTTGCATCGTATAAAGAGATTATCAGAAAATCACAAAAGCTTTCATTTTAAAATGAAAAAGCGGAAATAAATTTCGTGATTTATCATGATGATTTATTGAAGTATCGCGATAATAAATTTGCAATCTTTGACAATCTTAAATTGATGAAAGACTAATATTTTCATACGAAAATTGCTGTCAATCTTTTTTGTCCTTATTTCCTAATTTATCTGAGTAATAAATATCAAAAATTGCGAATGTAAAATAAATAATAAAAATAATTAAAAATTATAGTAAACATATGTATATATATAAAAGAATGTATTTTATCGATACTTAAATTCAATCTTTTTGTCTAAAACTATAATTTTATCTTCAATCTAAGTCTAAATGAGTTCTTAAAAATAAATTCTTAAATTACATATTTTTCATAAATATACTCTGATATCGCTTCTTGTGCTGGATTTAATTTTTAATAGCTTATGACGTACGTGGTTGGATGAAAAATCCGTTTTTGAAAACCCCCATCGTCCTGTCACTCATCTCTATTGACGCCGATTATACGGCAAAGATCGCGCGTATTTCTTTCCATGAACTAGCAGCACGGAAGAGGTTTAAAGTGTGTAACGGCTTTAATAGCGGCAGATCGTTACGCAGTAAATGACTGACGGACGACAGAAGATTAAAGTTGGCCGTTAACTCGATCTAATTGTCTCTCTCCCCCCGGTTTGGCCTTCCTTTATTAATCCACGTCTGCAACCATCTTCGCCATCATCGTCATCCCCTTGTCACGAATCTACTCACCTATTTGAAAAGATTTTTATAAATTATGTAATACCGATCGAATTTATTTATTATAAAAATATTGATCAAAGATACAAATAAAAATTTAATTTTTAATTTGATTTGTTTACACAAATAAAAAGTATATGTTTATATGTCATATTCTAAACTCTCTGATGCTCAATATTTGTGCAATTTTTCAACTGCACTTTTTTAATATCCTATCTACAATTGTTTTTAGTTTTAACTTTCATCTTCTAAAGAGAGAAAGAGAGGAAGATTGTATTTATAATAAATTGCTACAACTATATTGTTATAAATTGTTAATACTAAAGAAACGCTGGGAAATAAAATAAAATTATTTTATTTTATTTTGTACTTATAAATAAAAAAATATTTTATTTTATTTTATTTTATAATTTAATTTTTACTTTCAAGTTATTTTATTTTAGACACAAAAGCCTAATTATGTAATATTTAATAAGCAATAAATTGACGACAAATTTGCACCTCGCATTACTAATTCTTTACATGGTAGCTGTACTCTCTAAAAACTTTGTCCCATAAGCAACTCGAAGCACTTTGCGCAAATATGATGGGCTACGACGGGCGCCTTGACAAAAACGATTCTAAAGTCGATTCAAAAAGTTTCATTCACTGTATCGAGCCTGCAAGCGACTATGAACCACGTGAGATGTATTTCGATGCAACGTCACGTGTGCATACACACCATAAGCACGCAGATCCCATCAAACTCAGACCAAAGTTAACCCATCTGCCGGACGGTCGCAAGCCGTTTTTCTCCAGCCAGTTTGCATCGCCAGTTTTTAGTGCATTCCAGTCGCACCCAGACGTAGCATTTGCGTAAGCAGTTCCTTCTATCACGCTACGAATCACATCTGTTTGGACTTCCTTCTTTTTATTCGCTCTTGTCTCGATCTTTCTTTATCTTTCTTGCAATGATGCAAGAACGAAACGGCAAAATTGTTTTAGCAATTGTAAGTAAAAGTCAATTCTAATTATAAAAAAATAATCAGTGCCATTAATTGATCAATTCTCTGCTATAAATGTAAAAAAACAATTCTATGGAATATATTTTTATCTGCAAATCTATTTTCAATATATGATGGATTAGATTTCTAAAGAAATTATAGGATATTCATTTTTAAGCAGCTAACTCAATCGTGTTAAAGTGAAATAAGATAATTAGACGTAATTATGCCGTATTCGCAGTAACAGCAATTACGCAAATCTTAAATTTAGACACAACTTCATATATATATTACTATGAAAAAATGTCGGACGTAACATTCGTAATTTCATTAGCTTCTCTCTCTCTCCTTGCATCTTCCTTTGTGTTTTTGACCAGTGTAATAAAGCACCTATCTGTCTTCCCGGACAAATCCCCGCAGGCGCAAAGCACTTTTCTCATTACATTAGGCCACTCTTACTCGAGTCGTATTTTGATTCGATTGCAAAGCCACCATGAGACACGATAATAATCGACCCCAACGACGGGGCTCGCGTGGAGCTTTAAATGCGATTAACCGACACCGGTGCATCATACGAGCCGGCACGTGACCGCGTGTCGCGCGTACGGATTATAAATATAATATACCGGTTGTGTGTTAGAGACGCACAATATGAGTGATCCGACGTCGAAATTGCCGTGTACCGGGGAAGGGATCATGAAATAGAGCCTGAGCCTGCCCTTCCTTCTCGCGTGGCGAGACGCGATACACGCGTGCCCGATTTCTGATCCACCCGGCGCCGTAAATCACGACGATCTAAGGGAATCGTGATTATTAAAAATGTCAGAAATAATTTTTCAACAAAACTTGGCTTCAAATTGTATCGATTTGTTAATCTCCACGCAACTTATTCTGCTCGAAGTATGAATTTTGTAAAAATAATTTATTATATTTCTTTTCGATCTTAGAAAATATAATTTCAATTGTATATACATGATAAAGTCATTGCGTTTCAATCTGAAAAGCTATTATAATATTAATTACTAATTATTTATTAAAGTTAAGTAACATCAGGCGTTGCAATTTCCAGTATTCGATCGTTAAACATAGACTAAATCATGACTTTGATTGGGATAATATTGTTTTTGGTGAAAATTCTTATTACATCCACCGTGACATTTCTGAAATGATGTATATCAAGAGGCAGTTTAATAGTTTGAACACGCAAAACGATACTGAGCTTCTCAATGATTTCTACTCCAGTATCATCAGCAATCTTCCTCATTTAAATCTATCGCGCCGTTCTGATATATAATTTTAATTTACTTTCACTGTTTGGTGTGTTGTCAATATTTCTGTTTGCCCTCTCTTTCACTTTTCATCTTTCTTTCCTACCTACTTTCTTTTACCTTTGCCATTTTTTCTTTTACTGTGTTATTCCTTTTTTCATTTTACACAGCTGATTGCACACTTTCTTTTTCTTTTTTATTCTATTTCTATATAAGATGTTAAATGACAATCCTAGATAGGCCTTAATTAACTTATCAAATTTTTATAATTTTTACATTAATTATTTTATTAATTCTTAATATTAACATGTGTATTTATTATATAAGTTCTCTCTGTATTGCCAGCCATTATGCCGCTCATTGTTTGTGACCTTATATTTCTGTAGAAGTTAACACCCATTCTTTGAATCGTATTTTAATATGCTTCACATGAAAATTGCCTAGAGAATTATTAATGAGTGATGCACATGAGCACTATTTCTGCAATTTTCCAGCCCTTACTACTGTGGAGTGTCTCCTTTGCTCCAACTATTTATCGATCTATAATGAATTGGATTTTTTATATTTGTATATTTACATTTTAAGTTTTTTGTTACTTTTTCTGTTTCATTCACATCTCATTACTTCTTACAAATAATTACACGTTTATTATTTTAGTTTTTAATTTAATTTCAAGGATTATATCATTAACCATTAGCTTATTATTAATAATGTCTTTTTTATACTTGTTATATCTGTTATTTATTATAATGAATACAATTGTTCAATTCACAATGCATTCTTTTTGATATATATCTTTTAAATATTTATAGTATAGATATACATAATTATCCAAAATAATGCAAACAATGAGTCACATATTCTGCATTCTGCTAATCATATCTGGGAATCGAATCTAGATATCTCTCAAATTTCTCATCAAATCTATGTCAGGAAACAGATAACAGGAAATAAAATAAATACATTCCGCGCGCTTAATCTAACAAATACATATCAAAATTGATGATTGAATCATGATTCCTTTGAAACGGTCGACAGATAAAATGATGTGACGTACAAATCAAAGCTGCGTCGAAAATTATCGATTCGATAATTACAGAGTACAGTAAATTCCGATTGACACGCGATACCAAAATTGCGATATCTGATGCAATTTGCAACTGTCATATTATACACAATGTAAAAACATTAATTTAATATTTCAATAATAATAAAAGCTTAATCTCTTCGTTATAAATTAACTAGCTATGGGTTAGAGTATAATAGAGGATAATTATCTAGTGACATATTATCTAGTATATCTAGTAGACAATCGTATTAATAATTGACAAATAGAAATATCAAAATTTCGATACATTCTATGACTATCACGCCATAAAAGATTTATTTAAAATTCAACTAGGCACATGTGTTTTCCTACCTTTCATCCATGTATAATTTTATTAAAGGATTAATCATACACACATACATGATTTATGACATTACGTTGTATAAAAAATTCCAAAAGAGCGCGCGAAAGATTTTATTAAGGACATTGCTTCACGTAACGTCGCGGAAATACATTTCGCTCTCGGCACCTCACTATTCGGTTCTCTCCTTGCGATGTCTCGTTAGCGGAACATGAGACCCTGTCATGACCTCTCGTGCCCTGCTCGTCCCTTAAACACCCTCGCGCCCGCATGCTAGGAAAAAGAGGTCCAGTACGTGACTCAAATCTTATTCTAGCTGGGTCCTTCTACCAGAAGAAACTGTATTTATCCGTGGCTTTCCTTTTTCGGATTCCCTGCATCTAGCGTTCCACATGTACCTCATACGTGACGTAGTCGCCGTCCGTCCAGTCATTGGCCATCTTGGTCTCGTGACTAGTATATGAACTCTGGTTTATCGATTATGGAATGTCTATATCTGACCAAAGGTGCGAAATCCATGAACGCGATATGATTTGTTTTTGCGCGATTAAACTTAATATTGATTTTTCAATTCGTACAAATCAATCGATCGTGTCTAAACAAGAGTAACTCGATATAATAATTAATAATCATTATAAACTGTACATTTTACAGAACGATTATCGTTCGGAGTGGGTCGTCTGGTGGGCTCTCCAGCGACGAGGAGTCCCTCGCCATCGCAATCTCCCTGTCCGGATTCACCTCCACCCGAACATCGAGATGCCGAGGTGGACGTCGATGTCGGTGAGGAGGAAGTCGACGTGGACGTCGAGGAAGTCGGCGATGACGATGACCATGAAGGTACCTCGAGTCCGCCGCGATCATCGTCGACACCGTCGCCATCGCCTATCAGCGTCGCGACGTCACCCGTTTCGCATCCGCCGAAGAAATCCGGCGACAGTTTCAGCGTGTCGGCTCTCCTGAGGCCAGATCCACCCTCCGCTCACCTGCAGAACGCGTCTCCGCATCGGGAAACCGCTTCCATGGGCGCTCATCCGCCACCACCCGGCTCATCTATTCTATATCCGCCGTTGCATCTCCAGGGCAGTCTCCTGCCGCCTCATCCGCATCATCCCCTCTCGTACCTGCATCCTCAATTGTTGCCGCATCATCTTCTGCCGCCGCACCTGCACCCGCTATTACGCGGCGTTCATCCGGGTCACCCGGGACTGCATTCGACCCACACGGCGCACGGTCTGCATCATCCCCATCCGCTTGGCGATGTCTACAGCTGCGTCAAGTGCGACAAGATGTTCAGCACGCCGCATGGGCTCGAAGTATGTATGCGTCTTTTTTTTTCACACTTCAAGATTGTACAGTTGTTTTGATTTGCTATCCTGGATGACGCTCGTCCGCATATGTTTCAATGATTCTATTGCCGCGTAAATAATAATTTTTATTTTTGTAATTCTTATTTTCATATTTATACAATATTTTTATATAAAAAGTATTACACCATATTATTTCAAATATAAGGATTATGTAAAATATAGGTTTTATGCATGTGTGTACGCAGGTATTTTCTCTCATAAAAATAATTTTGTGCTTGACACATAATTTTCTATTCTTGAAATAATATTTCGCGTTGTCGTCCTAAATATTGCCTACATTTATGTTTTTTTTTACATAATTTTTTATGTATTTATAGAATTTAGAGAATATCAATTTGCATAGGTGCATGCGAGGCGATCACACAATGGTAAACGGCCATTCGCCTGCGAGTTGTGCAACAAAACCTTCGGTCACGAGATCAGTCTCACGCAGCACAGGGCCGTTCATTCGGCGGAGAAGGTGTTCGAGTGCAAGCAATGCGGCAAAGCCTTCAAGAGATCCAGCACGCTCAGCACTCACCTTCTAATCCACTCGGACACGAGACCGTATCCTTGCCAGTTCTGTGGCAAGCGATTCCATCAGAAGAGCGACATGAAGAAGCACACCTATATACACACTGGTAAGTAAGCTACGAATCCATGGTTTTAAAAGAGAGGGAAAGTTGAAAAGATTTATTTTTCGCGGTAACGATATACTCTATTTTGTTTAACTAATAAAAAATATTTAGCAAACAGAAAATTAATATTAATGTAATATTAAATATTAAATATTATGATTATTCTAAATTAATGCGATTATTAAATATTAACTATTATCGATTACAAATATGTTCTATAAAAATATATGCTTGCATTATTGGATTTTAATTTCATAAATGATTCCAACATAAAATTGCTATAGATTCTCTATAAAAGTTTGTCTAACAGTTACACACAAATATGGTTATAAACTACGTTTAGTCCGTTGATATTCTTACACTTTGCTCTATTTAATCGGATGGAAAATGCTAAAGTTAGTTACTCGGATTGAATTTGCTTGGTACGCAATTATTTCACATTTGGACAGCTCGCCAACTTTCAGACATTATATGAAAATCGTGCTCGTGATTCCGATGGGTATCGTTATCGAAGGGACGTGAGGGATCAATTAGTCCGGCAAGTTCGTACGATAAATAATGCAGTCAACCGTCTGGACCGAGTCCTTGCGAGAGGATCCAGTTGAATACGGCACATGTGGCCAATGCATTTCAGGGATGTCGAGTCCCACATTGCGAGTTTCGCTCGGTAATAATCGTAATGTCTTTCGGGGTGCTTCCCTATCCCCCGTCTCTCTCCTGTATTTAGCCTTCTCGTCCTTTGCTCCCACGATTTGGGGTGGTATCATGGCCTTCCCAATCTTGGAATGGAACTTCGCTGTGACGCAACGTGGAGTCTGTGCAAGACACACGAGCGGATAATTTTGTCTCATAAAATGGGCATCTCGATTACTGATTATCTCTAGAATGAAAGCCTCTATCTTTTTGGTTGAAATAGACATAATAAAATCCATTATTCACTAAAATCTCTAGTAAAATTCTTCTTAGACATTTAGTATTATATTTATGATAATTGTCAAGAATTGTAAATTATTTATATCTTGAGGATATATATTATAATAATTTTGTTAAAACGCTATTCGCATCTGAAAATTTTAATTATTATCAATAGGCATAATCCTCGTCAGCAGTCTTTTTTTTATATCTGTGCAATGCGATCTGTGTTTATCTTTGACGGCACGTATCAATGTCGAACGCGTCGAAGTTTTACGTGCGACTGAGAAGCTCAAGGGAAAAAAGTCGAGAAACTCGCAAAGCGATGGTGGCGGCAGGACACTTGACACTTCGGTGTCTCCGGGCTGATGGAGCGGAGTCTTGAAGGAGCAGGTTTCTCGAGGGTAGAGAACCACGAAGGAGAGAGTAGGCGCCTGCTAGAGGGTTCTAGTTGAGGCTCTGGGTTTTGTATCGTCTCCATGGTAACCCCTCCCGATGTCTTATCAAATTATCACCTTGTCCTCCTCCACGCCACTTCATCCTGCCGTCACTCCGAGATCCTCCGCCCCCATGACGATAGTTCTATGGTCCCCCGAAACAGCTGGAGGAATGGCCGGCAATGTAACAGGATATACAAAGCGACGGTCACTTCCGCAAACTTTTCTAACAACCGATGGGGACCAACCATGGATCTCCTTGTGTTACACACACTTGTGTCTATCTACCTACACTGTTGCGTTCCACGAAGGATCGCCATGAAACACATTTAATTTATTATTCAGGAGTATAAAAAATTCAGAAGCGCCGTGAGAGCGCCGACCAATGATGTTCGCGGCAATTGCGCTGTAAAAAAGGAGAGCCCGAATTTTTATTTTTCACAAAAAATCTTGATTTTTGGGAAATTATCTTCTCTTCTATGATGAAGAGTAAAAAGTGTATATGTGTTCGGTATATTTTTTAAACATTTTTTATTCTGTAAAAGCGTTTTTTGGTACGTGATGCATAAATTCCAAACTAACTTTTAAAATAACTAATTTACAAATCATGACAAATATTATTAAAAAATTCGCATTTTTATTATTATAATTTTAATTATAATAATATTTGAATTATTTTTATTATTGTAATCTAAATTATAACAATATTATTATTATAATTCTAATAATATGTATAATATGCATTTAAATTAATTAATTTTTAATGCAATTCTTTTTTTTATCACAAATTTCTATTCCGTCAATTCTTTGATAAGCTATCTTTAATAACTTGTATACGCTCACTAAATCGATTCAACCGGTTTTTACCCTGGCACGATAGCACTTTCTCTTTTCTTTTTTTATCATGCGCACGTACAAATCTCGTTGCTCCCACGACCTCGAGCGACGAGTCGGCTGCGTGTGCCAAGGGTGTTCTGGGACTTTGTTGCTAATGATAATCAGTCCTTTCTCTTTCTCTTTTCAATCCCCCCTTCAACCGACTGCCTACGTACCCCACGTACCGAGCACAGGCCATGTGCAATAAGGGTGCGGCACCGTCGGATTCCCCGGGGAAAACGGCGTGGCGTAACGTAAAATCATTATTAGGTAGGTAGGTAGGTAGGTGGTTGCTGGTGCACACGAGGGGTGGAAAGAGAAACGGGTGGTTCGGGTGAGCGGGGTGGTTCGAAGCGCCGCCACCGCTCACGGGGGTTGAGAATAAGAGCTCTGCAAATATTGTTCGTGCGCGAGCCGGCAACCCGGAATAGGCTACGAGGGGTCGGAACGTTACTTCGCGTTACCTTCGCAGGCGAACGTTTTCGGGGACGGCGGTGGAACGCAAGGGGAAAGGAGCGCGACGAGTCAAGTGCACAGTGGTTGCAAGGGGTTGACGGGCGAAGTGACAGACTGGCAAGTGGTCACGAGTCTCTTCGATGAGAAAACACCGACAGAATGTCTTTGAGAGGAACGGCAGAATATTTTCAGAGCTTTATAGGGTGAACTTTGGCGGGGCGATGAGTTTTGATAACGTCAACGATTTCATGCGATATGCTGCACGTTTTGATAAATCATAGTAATATTGTTCGAACGTACTAATCAAAATTGGTAGCTGCAGATTTTCCATATTTTTTAAAATAATTTTATATATTTATTTTTTTCTTGTTAAGAATAATTATTATATATAAAGAATTTTTAATATATTGGTATAATTAATCAGAGTATTCTTTCTAAGACTATATCATTCTCAGCATGCATTTTGAATTGAAAATAGACTCACCAATCCCTCCGATTTGTCTCGGCGCCGACATGTGATTACAGAGGAACATTATCGATCAAAATCATCGTCCCTCTGTCATCAGAATGATCAACTTGCACTGTGTACGCGACCTTATCTATACACGCGTGTGCCCTTTATGTTTTCACAATAAACACAACTTGTCCGCGTTGCTGGTGCAAAGTAAAGTCGACGGATCGAAGCGAAGAGAAGGATGGGGAGGAATGAGTGCATTCTGTGTACTTTTTGATCTTTTCATTGAATATTTCTATTTCGGTCGCATGTTCGGTAATGTTTAAGACATCTGTTGTGAATGGGCAATTTTTTTGACAGTGAAATCATAATTGATCATTTTCTCATCTCAATGCAATTATTTATATTGCAATATTTTGCATTATTTATCTAGACATGGGGAATTTCGTGCAAATGATTATTATTAAATAATCTAAAAAATTATTCTAGGCCCCTAATACTTACTTTACAATATAAAAATAGAAACAATAGAACATACGTGTTTTTTTTATAAAATTAAAATAGATAATAAGTTGTATAATTAAAAGTTAATTAATTTTTACATAATGTAGAAAAATAGAACGTCTAATATACGCTTTACACATCAAACAATATCCATATATAATACGTTATCACGAAGGAAATTAAAGCTTTATGACACTCCGTAATACGATATCCATTAAAACACTCGCAATAACTGGAACGATTAATTGGAATCGTCGAGGTCATCCATTACTTTATTGTGCTATGACGTTGGTTACGTGTAAATATAATTGTAACAAAACTCTGACGTTTTACATCTTTTACATAATCTATTCTTTCTAGTATTTATAATTTTTGATCAATAATATTCTTTTGCAAAATTAAATCGATATTTAATCGATATTTAATTGAAACATCTTATCTATTACTTATCCATTATTTCTACCATTTTATCTATTATTATTTTATCTATTATATTTATCTATTATTTTATTGTAATTATAAGTTTTATGATTCTTTCTAAGGAGAGAAATTGTCTCAATATAAAATTATATAAGCAATTTTACACATAATTTCGTATGAATTTAAAAAATGTGTGTACATTGATGTGATACTCCATGATTATTTATGCAGGAATCTATTGGAAAAAAAAACACAAAAATATTGCTAATGCATTAATATAGTCGCATAATTTTCAATAAATACTCGTATATATGTATCGCGCTTTCGTAACACAATTAATAATTACCTCAAGCCGCAAGCACGAGCGCGCGCCATCCTCGCCCCTTTCGAATTATGAATTCAGTTGCGGCTACGACGCACGCGGATACCTGGTCGAACATGTTTCCCTCGGGGTCGCCTCGAGGGTGCGGTTATCGTATACTCGCAAAGATACAACCTGTACGGGCATCTTTGCGGCCGCATTCGTAGCGTGGACTCCATCCTCGGCTACATCCTTCTCTCTCTCTCTCTTTCCCTCCCTCCCTCCCTCCTTCTCTTCCTCTCATCCTCTCTCTCTCTCTCTCTTTCTATCTCTATCTTTTACTCTCACGTTTCCAGACGAGGCTATTAGAGGTTTCCGGCTGACTTGGCGCCCCAAGCATCGGGGGCGCCACAACATCCCTCTAAGCTGTTTAAACTTCGCGACATGGTCGGAGGACAATCTGCCTACCACCCCTCAGCCCCTTTGTACAAGGGACCTCAGTTCGGTCTTTCTTGTCTCTCTCCCTCTCCCCTCTCTCTTTCTCTCTGCCATCTTTACGGCTCGTTAGCGACGATGCATCCCCACATATCGTGCCACATGCGGTAAAAAGAGTATTTACACGGCACGTAGGATTGGCATGTTA